AAGCTGGAGACCACCATGGCGGGTACTGCGCTGAGAGACCTCCTCCCGGAAAGAGAGCCTCTCAAGAAGGTACAGTGCCTCCTGTAGGACAAGAGCCTTGTGCACCATGCAGCACGTCATAATCCTGCTAACAGTGTCTTCTGTTGACATCCCTGCTACAATTCTAAATGGAGAGACATGTTCAAATCTGTTGAGCCACAAATGAAATGAATTGCTGAATTTTACAGTTGTTGCATACGGTGCATGTTTTCTCCAGAAATGCTGTTTCCATAAGCAGGGAGACAATATGTAAACACCGACAGAACCAGTGACATGAGGCGTAGCTTCCCAGAATCTGGCAGCGATTATTTTGGCTTAACAGTGCTAAATAACAGAATGCCTATTTATTTTAGTATAAATTGTTAAAAGTCTGTAGTTAAAAATAACACTGTATCAGTGATCCACCGGCTTACTGAGTCTCTACTGTATTTTTATATCAGGTAAATGTATTCCACAAAACGAACACTATGCAATGACACGGCTCAATATGTTAAAGTAAATATTTTAACACCAGGTGTGCCCTGCCACAGCGTAGTTCTAATTGCAATCGGCCCTTGTTGTTTTAGCATTACTAGGGCTTCTGCTTTTTATAGCTTTCATTTATATTTAACCTTAACCTGTAATAGTAGTTTGGTGTATTCTCATTGCCACTGACAGTGATGCAACGACTCATTGTACCAATCGTTAACAATTAAATTGGTAAACAGCTGATTAGATGAAGTACAAAGCATTACAATTTTTCTTCTTCTCTCTCAATCCTTGAACCCCATTGGTCCGTTACCCGTGTTGTTAAGTAAAACTATGCTGTTATGTAAGTAAACAATTCTGTTATGTGAAACTTTTCAATTCTAAGAACTGAACTGAAACGGCTACTTTAAAAACGGTCGTAGGTAAAACAACTTTTTAAATGCCATAAACTATTAAAAAACATTGACGTTTTGATCCATTCGAATAAGAATTAACGAATAAGAAAGGCCATATATAATCCTGTAATCTCCATATTTACTAAAAGGTGTGTATATTTTGTGCTTATGGTATGAATTACAGCTTGTTAAACAAATAACTCCTGATTTTGTATTTCAATCCAAAAATATTAATAAAATACCATCCTAAAGCAATATACTGTATCACAAAACTAATAATACGTTTTCCAATTAGCTTCTCAAAATCCTTTATAATGGGTAAAAGGTAGGAGTAACTATGATATTTTATTTGTAAAATCATAAAAGTTGACAAATAATAACTATTATAGTATTATAGGTTGTACCCCTTTGCTTCGACTTAAAAATACCATAGAATACAAAGGTTTGAATAAAATTGTCTGCGTTCTTAAAAACCTGTCCTTATTCATTATTTTAATGGGAAAACACCGCCAACAATCAAAACTTAAATAACATAGAAAATTCTCTTAGACACCATGTATTACCCACATACCAAATTTCATCAACATCACACCACAGGTGAAGTCTGACTTCGAAAATAACTGTTTGGGGTTAAGGGGAACCCAAAAACGACATTTCCACCTAAAACTCAAATAAGAAGATTTCGACGAACACAATAACTTCTCCATGTACTAGACTATACAGGGCACGTAAAAGTATATCTTTGTCCGTCAATATTTACTAATTAAAACATAACCAGCCATAAACTATTGGACTAAGTAGTTCAGTGTACATGTTGTAGTCAATGTGTTTTATAATGCATACAAATAAGTTTTCCTACAGTCACCCGACAAAGTTGGCTTCCTTGCACTGATTAATGTACGGAAAGCTGTTAATTGCTGCATTTACTTACTTTGTCGCATCGTTTATACTTGGCCACATAGTTTATACTTTGGCGGACACAAGTATTCCAACAAAACAACAAAAAAGCGTGGTTTTATTATGCACGTAATCGGTGTACACTTGGAAATAGGTTGGCAACACTTAATGATACTGCTACTACTATGATCAGGTCATTGACTATTCATACTACGATTTAACCTGTCATTTCGTGTTTATATTCTATTTTCGTTCATTGCTTGGTTTGAACATATCCTAAAGTGTTGTATTTGAAAGAATAATTATAAGTCGGCCTGACATGTTTGAGAATAATGAACTCAGTGATTGTGAATATATATATGTGTACTGTGTACACTGGAAAAAATATATAGCAGAAACTGCAAAACATAAAAGAAAAAAGCTGCAAAAGTAAGAAAGTTACAAAATACATGATTATTACTGTTTAGAAGTGTACTCTCGAAAATGAGTAACACCTAAAGATACTACGACTAAAATCAGCTGGTGCAGTGTGTCCCATTTCGTGCAACGCTTGGGTTTAACCTAGCCTAAAATGTGTTGTATAGTGTTTACAAGACTAATTATTTTATATGCTTTATTGTGACTGTAGGAAAAATATAATGTGTAACACGAGCGCAAACGGCCTTTGCTCACTATTTACACAAATAACCATTTCAAGCTTTTGAAATTAACTGAAAATAAAGGCCTTAGTTGTGCGAATAATCGACAAATCCACACGTGCGTTTCAGCCTGAGGATAATCAGGCTTATCGGTTCTGGATCTGTACATTGTCAACGGGCACGCTTCAGTCCACCACTCTAGTACAATGATTGATAATGAAGTATATATTGCTCCATTATTGCAGTAATATTGCTCCTCTGAGCACGTTCTTACTTGGAAAGGATTTTGATGATTTTTGTATCAACAAATCGTTTAGAGGTATAAGCACGTGGTTGTTTAATATAACACGCGCTTTTGAGGTCAGATTATTGATATTAAAAATAGATCATTTTTTTACTTGTTTAATTGTTATAAGTTAGTTTTTAAGTTTGTCTTCATTGGAACGCTTAGGTACTATACAATCTTTTGTAGCGTTTCCCACAAATGCTTGTTAAGAGTCCTTGGAGACTAGCGGCCATCTTGGATCATTTAAAACAACTGCTACATGATCCAAAAAGAGTTTTTTAAACACTTAAGTGATTATAATTTAAATATCTAGCATACATTGAGATTATATGTTCTTTGTAGTTTTGAATTGTTCTCCAAGGGAGTCCATGGAAGCTAACAGCCATCTTGGATTTTCCCGCCATAAGAGCAATGTTAATTTCGTTATTTTCAAACAGCCGCTGAAGAGTTATTTTTCGTCCAAAGATATATTTTCAAACAATAGTGTGATTTAATTTAAATATCTAGTATACTGTGAGATTAGAAATTTTCTTTGTAGTTCTTTAATTATTTTTTTTTAGTTAAAACGTGTAGGCTCCAAGGACTCATATCATAGATCAAATTTGTTTACTAGTTTTATTGTTAGACGTTAGCTTTTAAGTTTGTCTTCATTGGAAGGCCTAGGTACTATACAATTTTACGTTAGTGACCCCCCTCTCTTGCCCCCACCCCCTTCGAAGTAACCAAACCCCTAGAGTAGGAATAATCAATTTCGACTAAAACGTAAATTGTTGACAAGACCCAATTATTGATACTCGGAAATGTATAAATACAGTTGTTAAAATATTAAAAATATGTCTCTGCCCAAAACAACCAACGAATTTCACCCAGTTTTAATTAAACTAAAGGATATACTAAAAATGCATAACAACCCATGACAAAATCAAGCTATACAGGATTTATTGAACTAGATTTAGTCATTTTCAAATTTTAATTAAAAACCAAGCAATATCACCTGAACTAGGTGACCGTGATGCAGGAATGACATTTATTTGAACTCAGTGTAGCAGGTATTTAATGGTTTTGGGGGTAAATGCTACAGAAACCACAGGCATCCTAGGATTTTATTAGTTTTAGTCTATAACCACTTTGCGCTATAACTAACTAGGCCTGAAAACGTAAGATGGTCCCAAAATGAACCATTTAATTAATATGGTAGCTTCATACTTTCATTCTGTTCTATGTCTGACTGGTTACATTGAAATACAAAAATAATTGAACCCAAATGAAGTATTAGAAAAACAAAAGGATCATAAGCTTTGCATACAGTATCATTTTATTAAAATGAACCGAGATAAGGGGTTAAAAAGAATTCGTAAAGTGTAGGAATAAAACCATACGGACCACTTTGTAAATATGCAGATTCATAATGAGTTTTTTGGGGGCGGTCTGACTCCCCTATTATATTTTAATTACGTAATATTTTTGTGCCCTCGTGGGGATCTTGCAATTTATTCTGAACCCGAAATCTGTCCCAAGTTGTTTCGCTCTTAAAATATGATTAGAAATATAATCCTCATTTCATTCGTGCCCTAACGATTTAATCTTGGAAAAAGAGATTCTTTGTTTGAGGTTCATTTTTGGTGATTGTGGGTTTATGGTATGTAAGAGATTATTGTGGACTTTCCATCTCGATTCTTAAAAAAACAAGTTTTCAAGACGTTTCGGGGTCTGGAATCTGATTTTCCTGAGGACGGGGTGAGGTTTCAGATTCCGAAATGTGGCGAAATTTGTTTTTTACCAACCGTAATAGAAAATTTACAAAATAGTTATTTAAATATTAATTAGAGATCCTGTAAATGTTTGTTTCACAAATGTCTTGTCAAAGATATAAACATAACACCGATGTTATGAGTTTAAAGTAATTTTACTAATAAGTATTTAATTTGTAATAAGTATTGCACATTATCGTATTATACTGCCTAAACCTTGATTTCTTACTACCTTAAATAAATAAATAAATGAATAAAAATGTCTTTATTTAGCAAGCGTTTTTCAGATACAATATTTCTGCTTTTCAAAACAACTCTTGTCCTTAATACTAATAAACTATTCGTCAACCTAACAATCCCAACTGTATGTGCATTATTCCAAAAATAAAATAAAATACAACATAAAACATTAAATAACTTAGAGATATGAATAATAAACTTGTATGTACAATAGAAATATATCTACCAGTAACTTTGCTATTGTTAAATTGGTTGGACTATTAATATTGAATATTTTTTGTTTCAGAGTTCAAAAGAAGAAAACGCATCTTTGGTAGAAAGGTAAGCTTCATACTATTTATTTTGTTTTCATTTATGGTAACATTTCCATATAATTTGGTTAAAACTACGTTTGGAAGCTAAGCTTATCATGGGACATTTATTAATTAAATGCAGATTTATTCTGGTTGTAAAATTTAAAAATACAAATATGAAGCAATAAAATAAAAACGATTTGAAAAATACGCACACTTCTTGTTCTTATACTAAAACGTGTATCTAATTTTATCTACTTTAGCCTATCTATTATCAAACACGTATTTGTGTATTTTCTTTTAATTAACCTCTTTGTACCTTAAGGCATAAATATTTATATAAAATAATGTTAAGCTAATTTGTTATTTTAATATCAATTAGGGAATAATTTAGTAGAATTCCAGCCAGGTAGATAGAAATTCGCTTAGTCTGCAGGTTTGCTGTGGCGGGGGTATTTCAGTCTTCAAACATTTGCACATAAATGATTCAAATGTAAACAATAAGTCCAAATGATCACCATTGAACCGTTATTGGGGTGAACTGATTCTTAAAACTTTCCCATCACAGATAGCGTTTACTCACCCCGCTTCTACATTTAAAATACAATCAGCGCCCGCGGGATTCAAGAGTGCTGCAAACACCCTATTGCCGCCATTTCTGCTGATTGATTTTTACTTAGTTACTTTAGCTATCGCCTGTAGGGGCGAATTTTATGTTTCACCCTGAGAATGACGAGAGGAACCCTTTTTATTCGGCGCAAAAGGTTCGCCAGATGAGTATTTAAGTTGATGTTCGTGAAGAATAAAATCGGGATTTGTTTACTTTGATTACAATACGTTTTTATGTGGGGAGTAAAATAAGGAAAGCACCTGAAGATTACCTATTAAATTACCTAAGTACTCCGAAAAATTCTAATTTAGTTTTATTGGCTTTTTACAATCAACTGAACTTGGGACATCCAAGATATTCATTTGTTTTCTAACTCAGAAATGTCAACTACGCCCGTTACAAATCTTGTTTAGATTGATACAAACCCAAAGTATTTTAATGCTTTTGTGTATTTCAACCTCATCATACACATTAAGACTCACTATATTAATTTTTTTAATTACAATTTGTGAGTGTGGTGTACTGCGTTTATTTATATAAAAATATATTTAGTCCTTCCCATCTTTGTAATTAGATAGGTTATTCTGCACTACGGCCGTTTCGTAGATTACTCCATCGTCGGGTGCGTAAGAGTAGATTAAATTAAAGCATAATTTTAAATGTTATACGAAATTTCTTGATTGCATTGTTTTAGTGGTTAGTAAAATTTAAACATTACACACCCAACAAAGATGGAACCTCCGACACGGCCGTATTGCAGCATCACCCCTGATTATGCGAAGTAATGATTAATGAACATTTTTATATTCACGCAGCTGGATTAATAAGATTTTAAGAGCAACACGTATTGAGTTTTATTTACAACAGTCACAACCATAATGTGATTCGTTCTAGACATTATCAGAAATCAATTATTTGAGATGGGGACGCCACCTAGGTGCGTATTTTAACCCAATTGAATGAAGGATGGGTGTAGAATGCTGTGATCTCTGTATCTTTGTTAATGACTAAGAACAGCTGTTTCATCAGTCAGGATCAATCAAATCCAAATGATCAGGTACAGCTGGGTCCAGTTTCGAACCATCAAAAAGCTACTGACCTTTCTCAGGATCGAACCAGCGACCTTTTGACTGTTAGGCGAGCACTTTACTACTACTAGACAAGAACTAGACTTATTTCTGCCGAATTCAAATTATTGTCTCACGAAGTAGTCTGATGTGCGTCAGGCTATGTACTATATAGGTTATTCAACAACCTACCGTAAAATAACCGGTCCAGTTGGAAGAGATTTTCAAAACAAGGTCTCCAATAAGATAAAAAATCCAGTCTATTAATTGGATTTGCTGTCTGTATTTTCCCAGCATTTACTACAAAGACTGGCTCACCATTTATTTTTGTGTAATTTATTACTCTTAATGAAGCCTTCGAACATGTTATAGTCTATTATTCTGATTAACTAGCCCAGCACTAATAAATCTAAGAGTAGACCTATGTCACTTTTACCATTAAAAATCTAAGGTGATGAAAAGACATTTAGTCTTTACGAAATTTTCCACTTCAGCTTCGGGCATCTTTTTAGCCAGTACTTCTAAAGCCTTTTATTAGCTCCTCTTTTATTCAAAACTCTCTTTCAACGCCCTTCCCTAGCTTGACTGCATTGTTTGTATTAAAGACCTCATGAACAATTATGTAGGGTACAAAAGATAAATCTGAATTCACTACAAAGATAAGATCCACTTTTCTCGAGCCAGGAAAATAATCAATGATGCTAATATTCATGAAAACTACTAGTCTGAAAAATATCTTAAGTTGACTTGAATATTACCATCCTATAGTTAAAATCCTTGGTGACTGAAACTACAGCATTGGACTGGAAACCTTAAGTTTTTTTGGCGAATGTTGAAGTAGAAAAGAATGTACTGATTGTTTGTTTATACATGTAATTATACTTCCGGCTTGTACCAGTTTCAAAAGCAACAATAATACACACTACGGTACATTATAAAAATAGGGAAATTCGCTAAAAGTAATACTGATATGGAAGCATTTTATATGGATAGCAGTTTCTCGTAAAACAAAATCAGTAAATTAACTTAACAACCAAATTAAGCTTAAAAACTAAATATTGCACGTTTAAAGTTGGTTTCAAATAACAAATCTGATTCAACAAAGAAGTTATAAAGATCCCGTTTGAAAACTTTGAGCTTGTCTTTAAAAGTATTGTGTAAAGAGTTCTTTGGATAAATAACCAACAAATTAAGACTACTGTGGGCATTAGGTTGTGTTTGTGTTGTTTCGTACTGTTGAGTACCAGGCCATTGATTATTGATCTGGTTGTTTGCTTCTCGTAACCTTCACCTAGTCCTTCAACTCTTTGTTTTGGAGTTTTTATGTTTTTTTTAATGTTTTATTATTATTATTCAGCAGCTTTTTATCTGAATATAACCTTAACACGAGAGTTATTTAAATAGTGCAGACATTTTGAATCATTTTATTAATATATCATTAATCAAACTATATTTTTCTTAGGACTCCTGAATACGTCATATTAGATTATACACAACCCAAAATATTACAAGTACAGTGAGACACTGTTTAACAACAAAACAAGCTTATGTTGGTATCCCTGTTTTTTACTTCATTGCTGGTCAGCTGATATGCATTATTACATAGTTATTTATGAAGTTTAGTGTTGTTGATAATGTAAATAAGACTTAACATGGTGTTTTCACAAGCCCAAATAGAGTAAGTATTGTAGGTCTAGGTTTTTTGTTTACTAAAGATCCGGTTTGTTTACATTTTTAGGTACAGGGCAATTATAGTTGATTTATTAGGTAGTAGAATAACATCTGGAAAATTAATTGTAAACCTTTCTTGGCATAAAATCAATAATATCATCGTGTTTCTAACTCTTCTAATTCTTCTAACTCTTCGTGCTTGGGAAAACATCATGTTGAGTCTTATTTACAACAAATTTCCAATAATACTAAATCTCATGATAACTATGGAACAGTTCATATCAACTGATCGGCAATGAAGTAAAGAAAACAGGGATACCAACATAATTAGCTTGTTTTGTCATTAAAACAGTGTCTCCCAGTACATGGAATCTGGGTTGAGTAAAAAGAAAACACGTTGTACTTAAAGAGATTGAAAACAACATTTTCCCATATTTCTCAATGCCATGGAGTGAAATTAAAATAAAATAGTTGGTACAACTGCCATAAAAATTATAAATGGTAATCATAGGAGCCCACATGGACTATTTTGAGTTTAAACCAGGTATAATTCACAGATTTCAGAGTTACTAAAGTATATTGTAAACATAATTCAAAGATGATTGGGGGTTTTAGACGTAAAAAATCTATGTTTTAAAGCGTTTGAAAAATAATTATGGAGGTCTCTTCCTTAAAAACCTGGAATAAGATATGTACTAGATTGCCTCTCCCCTGAATAAAATACCTGCAACCATCCATGATGGTAACTAAATATTATAGGGCGTCCATTATGTTTTCTATCGTGATGTTATACCCCTAAGAACATTAAATTCGATTATAGATCATGAGGATGTATCTAGATTCAAATTATAATGCTTTATTAAAGTAATTTGATTTTATTTTATGCTAGTAAAAGAAGCTTAATTCTGACAATATGTTTCTCAAAGACGTCTTAACATAGTCTATAGTACGGTAGGTGATTGGATTCACTAGGAAACACACTGATTAATAAAAATTCTTGACATACTAGCACAACATATAAAAAAATTGTAAGAAAAAATGTATTGTAAAACACAAGTAAAACATTTTCAAACTCTCAGTTTATTTTATGCACTGGACCAATTATCTGTTACCGGTAAAGTATACAGGGTGAATAAAAAGTCAAGACCCCTCCCATCTAATTTTTTCCAAGTAAATATACAGAGATATCCTTTTGGGGGTCGTGCAATCTTAGCAGGAAGTTTCATTTTATGATTTTGAAATTTTTAAATGTCCCCCAAAAAGGGGGGATTCGAGGGGTAACTCAAATATTTTAAATGTAAACCCCCTTCAAGTGGCACCTCATTTTGAGTTTACAAAAACTTAAAGAATGGTGAAAACCAGAGTTCGCTATCTCTTCTCTATCCAAAATGGTAGCCAATATTACCATTACGAACCAATTTTACCATTGATTTTCCACAACATTTGACGGGCTACCATTTTGGATAGAGAAGAGATAGCGACCTCTAGTTTTCACCTTTCTTTAAGTTTTTATAAACACTTCCAAATGAGGTGTCACTTGAAGGGGGTTTACTTTTAAAATATTTGAGTAACACCCCAAATCCGGTTTTGGGGGGACACTCAAAAATTTTAAAATCATAAAATGAAACTTCCTGATAAGAATGCACGACCCCCAAAACTATATCTCTGTATATTTACTTG